AACGTATTATTGGCAAGGAAGTAGTTTGACGTATTTCTAAAGGTATTGGCATATCACTAATTAAACGGTAGTCTTTAATTTTTAAGATTTTGAAGCTTTCTACGAAAAAAAATCTTTTAAGTTAAGACCCACAATTGAATTCATTGTTTTGCAATAAATTTGTACAGTTATTTCAAATATTTGATAACGTTCAAATCACTAAACCGAGCAAAGCTACGGCAACCCTAACAAAACACTGTCATGAAATATTATAGCAGCAGGCCGTTGCTGACGAAAGAAAACCAAAGCATATTCCAAAACTGCAAACGTAGAGAGCAGAAGAATGAAATGAGAAACTTCGCAGCTTTCTCACACACAGAAAAACAAAAACTTGTGCAAAAGCAGTTCCATTCATATTAGACGCGAGCACAAACACACACACACTCAAGCACCGCCGAGACCAACCGACCGGCTTTTTTATTTGTGTTTATTTTTATTTTGCCGGCTATGTTTTGTTTGCTTATTCGTTATGGTTTGATGTGTTGCTGCTGCTCGGCGTTTGACAACAACATTTGTGGCGATGCTACGTCGAGGTTGACGTCGTCGTCGTATCTTAGCTCTGCTCAGCCAGTTCGATAGTATTTTGTCAATTCTTATTGGTTTGAATGTGCAACATGTTCGACATCGCTTTGCAGTACCTTGTTCCAACTAGTTGGAGGGGTAAATAGTTAGTGAATCGAATTGGTTTGATGTTGCCAGTATGGCTTCCGGCATGAAAGTGAATGGGTTGCGTTCATGAAAATATTTACTGTTTGTAGGTTTTATTTTTGATGTCTCTTCAGTCATCGCTGAATGTTGTGAGGAGTTGGTGGGAGATGACGGCGTTCTGTTTGGTAGACGGTGTCTTGCCGAGTTTCATTCGATTTGCAGTTTTTATCGAAATAAATTAATTTTTTTTTGTTATTCATTCCATTAGATGCCTATTAGAATATCCTTTGACAAAATGTGAATTTCAATAGAAAAACACATATTTTTTTTAAGATATTTTACACAATCATAACTGACATCATCTTCGTGGCTTATATTAATTTATTTTTTTTTTAATTTAATACATTTGAGATTATACATAAAAATGCCGACTACTGGAACATACTGACCTAAGGAGTACTTTCTCACATATTTGGGTCATAATAAAATCGAATACCTTACTAGGGTAAGTGTACCAGTAGTCGGCACTTTTAGGATTTTCGCGTTTTTAATCGCTCACCATTCTGAGTGGAACTTTTCAATTATTACAAAGTTAATTTATTCAGATTCGAAATTTTGTATAGTTTTTGCAATAAGAAATAAAGTTTTAATAACTTTTTATTAAATTTTATAAATTTGTAGTTTTATTAAAACAATGTTTTTTTGCCAGTAGTCGGCACCACTTGCCAATTGTCGGTATGGCATTTTCCAACAGTCGGCATACCAATTTTTTTGTAAGAATAATTAATATTAATAATAAATTAATTCATTAAAATATAATATATTTGGTTAGTTAAACTGATTCGACGTCTTTATTGTACTTTTTTTAAGAATATGGATTGTTGAGGACCTTCACTGACAAAAATTTAATTTTTTTGTTTTATGTTTTACATTCCACCATACTTAGTTGTCACTCCGCTTATAGCTCCTTAAAATATGAATTTTAGACTTCTGTCTGTCTGTGAAGATCACTCGAGCTTCTGAACAAAATTAAGGTCCGTAGAATTTCTGATTTGATTTTGAGAGATCCCATGTGTTACAACACCACAAATTTTAAGGTATTCAGGGACTAAGTTCTTCGGTTAAATAAAATATATTTCAGCAAAATCGGCTGTTTGAAGATACACCGCTCATAATGTTACCTCCATATAAAGTATTTGGATAATTTTAGTCAAATGTTTAAAGGAATCTTTAGTCTAGAGTCTTTAATGTATTTAATGTTCGGAAAAGGTTCCACCACCTCTGGCACAAGTATGTCTATGGTGGCCACTGTTTTTCGTATAACACCCATATAACGGAACCTCCGGTTGTTCGGTGTTTTGGCTATTGAAACCATGTTTTTCAAATAAATTGTTTTGGTATTACCTCCAATATCAGAAAGTTGATTATGACGGTTCACGTTTTGGTATGGCTTCCACACAACGAAATTTTCAATATTTGATATGTTAGTGTTTTCAGTATTTTCAAAGTAATTGTTTGATATTCTGTATTTGAAGTTATTATATCGAATCGCCTATATAAATCCAGGTGTTTATATAGCCCTCATATAAGAGTATTTGATTCTAAAAGGTCTTTTGCCGACAGATGTATATCCTCAGCCAATGTACGATTATTTAAAAATATTTTGACTTTTGTTATGATTATTCAAATGCCACTTATGGAGTAAGTTCCGAAGGAATGGGCATTGGTCATTTCACAGATATATATCATCTGCACAATAGATATTGTGTTAATAAAAATGTTTGTATGAGTGAAATTTGAAGAGTGTTGATTGCTTCTTTGAGCGTTTTGTTTTTCAAAATCTTGAACCCTATGTGGGCCAGGTAGCAAAAGAAATGGTCCCATCTTTAACATCTTTATAACAGATCTTGTGTTGATGGAAATATTGAGATGTTCCAAGTTTTGAATTGAATCGGATGTTAATTTCGCTTTTTATGAGCTTCGTGGATATTCAAAATTTTGAGCCTTTGTGGGGGAGGTACCCGAAGGAGGGAACCGATATATCCCATATTCACAACAGATCTTTTGCTAGTGGAAATATTGGGCTGTGTGAAATATAAAGATGACCTGACGCTTATTTCGGATTTAATAAATGTTTTGGTTATGCAAAACTTTGACCCTTTGTAGGGTAGGTACCACAAGGAATGGTCCAATCTCTACCGTTTTTATAACAAATCCTGTGTTGATAGAAATATTCAGATGTGCCAGGTCTAAATGGAATCGGATGTTAATTTCGCGTTTTATGAGCTTAATGGATATTTAAAATTTCGACCTTTTGCGGAAGAGGTACCAGAAGGAGTGGACCGATATATTCCATCCTTGCATCACACTTTAAAAGAGTTGTAGTTATACAAAATGTTGACCCTTTTTGGGGAAGGTACTTGATGGTGTGGATGGATTGCCCGTTTACCCATTGCCCTTTTACCCGAAGGAGCGGACCGATATTGCCCATCTCCGACCTCGATCTAAGTTTGACAAAAATATTACGATGTACCAAGTTTGGACTAAATCGAATACTCCCTTCGAGAGTTATCGTGCGCACCAGCCAAACAGACGGACGGACATCGCTAGATCGACCCAAAATGTCCTGAAACGGATTTGGTTCTAAAACCGTTGTTTCGATCAGGCACGTTTTGACCGTATCAAATGACGTTTTGACCTCTCTAGCTATATGACCGAGAAACTAAAAAGAAACTACTAAACCAAGATACATGTTCATGCAATCATACCATTTAAATTTTTATACCTTACACCACATAGTGGTATCCGATTGATATAAAATTTTGTAAACAATATTGGTTTGGCTTAAGGATGAACCCTATTGAAATTCTTTTGTTATGAGAGCTCTACTAAATGTACATAGTGGTTTAGGGTATCATATACTCGGCCCGCCCGACTTTTGACTTTTCCTTACTGGTTTTTACTTGATATCCCTACGCTGTCAAATATATACTTTGCAGTTCTTATAAAGATATGGTTGTACAACTGGCAAGACATTTACATTTATGTCCGACCAAATATTTTGTAATTTCTCCTCTATCAAGGAAGAATATAATCTAAAATAGAGAACTAACTCCTAATGAGTACTGTAATACTTGACCATGGAATGTTTGAATTTTTCTTTTTCAGTTTTACTGTTTTCAAAAGCTGATAATTTCACTTAAGTCCACAAAAACAACCATATTTCGGTGTCTTTCCACCACATTTCGGAAAGATTTTTTTATTTATTTTTTTTTTCAAATTTGGCACAGAACATATCTTATGAAAATAGGCTTAAACACTATTCCACTATAATACAAAATTTAAAGTTATATCACAGTTATCCTTAAGTACATAAAATCTTACGAGTAAAACTTAATAGAATAAACATACATATCACAGTTAATTTGGATTATCACAGATTGTTACAAATATCACATTAGTCTAAAGGAAATCATTAATGTATTTTAAATATCATAAAAATGTAGACGCAAACATGATTTTACAACAAATTCAAGACAAGAATGCTTATGATCTGTCACAAATCATATTCGCAAATAATGTTATAATTTCAAAATGTAAAAATATTTTCCAGAACTAATAAAAAAATTTACAACAAAAAAAAATGGAAAATATACAAAGAATGTGTAAATAGTGTATCACAGTTAAAATATCACAGTTTAAGTTATTTTTATCACAGAAGCAAAATTATCATATATTCAAGAGATGATGAAAATAATACGAATTAAAAAATCTAAGGAAACTTTACACCTAAAAAAGACACAAATAACTAAAGACCAAAGATAAATAAAAAGACAAAAGAGATAAAATTTAAACAAGTGATGTTATTGTTATTTATACACAAACAAAACAAATTTTAGAAAATCATATACATTTGGAATATTTGTAAATAAAGTGTATAATGATAAAAGAATAAAAATTATTTAAAATTAAATGAAAAGTAATATAGGGTGTAATGTTAAAATTAAAGTAAACCTTAAAAATAATAATATAGTTTTTACAAAAAAAAAGAAAGAATCAATAAAAAATAACAATAATAACGAATGAAAAACAATAACATAAAAATAATAAAAGTTATTAAAATAAAAAAGTAATGACAACAGTTTAACGAAAAATATTTAACAATTATCACAGTTATTTATATATATATATATATATATATATATATATATATATTAAAAATATCACAGTTTTTGAGAAAATATCACAGTTAGTCTACAAATTATCACAGTTAAAAATATGTAAATAATATACGTATGTCGTTTCTCCTCCGTAATAGTTGCTATAATGTTTTTCGTTTTAATTTGATTTTGGGTTGAAATATTGCCGTTTTTTTGGCAAGGCACGTTTTGTAGTCCCATAATCACAATTATGGGACTTACTATGCTTGGAGCATATCAAAAATTTATGGTGTATGATGAGTCCATGGCATCCACTTTCTGGCATCTTTACACAGCAACCGTTTAAACGGTCCAAGTCTTCACATTTCACCGATGTTCAAAACATTATCGACAGGCAGAAATATTTTAAAAGTTTTAAACTTTTTTTATCACATCAAGACCGATCACAGTTTTATTAGCAAATATCTAAAATGAAAGAGAAAAGAGCAAATTTTATTAATAAAGTAAACGTTTATGGTAAATATGTTTATACAAAAATAAAAATATCAAATAAAATACAATTAATAAATTTCAATTTCCAATGACCAAAAAAAATAAATAAATAAAATAAAAAATATTTTGTCGCCATATAAATTTGAGAGTTATTTTTATAGGAATCCGAAAACATTCACGTTTGTTTCATATATTTTTGTCGATTAAAATATTTGTTAAAATAGATATAAATAAGTATATAAAATTTTGTGTGTTTGAGTTTGACAATATTAAAAAGAAAAATTATATAAATACAAACTTTTGTAATGTGTTTTAGTTAAAACTTTTATTTTAAGTGAAAAAAATAACGAAAATAAATAATAAACCATTGCAACTCGAATCATTTATGGAAATTTATTTAATTATATATTTTTTTAATTTTTTTTAAAAAAAAAAAACGAAGAATGTTCAAAACATTGAATTTTTAAAAAAATGAATATTTTGTCGGAATATAAATTTTTAAATTTATAATTGTTTATTGTTAAATTAGAACGATAAAAAAATAACATTATAACATAATTAGCCTTTTTCGTTTTAATTTAGCAACAAAACATTCTAGAATATTATGTTCATTTTTATTAATTTTGACAAAATAAATAAATAAAATACAAAATTATTAAATCATAAATAAATCATAAATAAATTAGCCAAATATATAAAACAACTAAAATTTTGTGTTTCATATATTAATTTGTTGAAATAAAAATTTTAAATTTTTTTTAAATTTAAATTTTCTTAATTTTTGTTTTCCTTAAAAAAAAAAACAAAACAATTAAACTATAATTTTTTCACTTTAAAAAAAATGAAAATATATTTTCATTTTCTTTTTTAAATTGTCTTATTATTTTTAAAATTTTATTAGTGTCTTTAAAAATTTATTTATGACAAAGTATTTTTTTAAGTTTAAAAAATGTTGCATTTAATTTATAATTTTTTCACTTAAAAAAAAAAAAAAAAAAAAAAAAATATATATATATATATATATATATATATATATATCCAATTTTTTTTTTCTTAAATTTTGGTATTTTTAAAAATTTATTTATGACAAAGTATTTTCTAACTTTAAAAAAAAATTTATTTAATTTTTCTTTTTTTCTTAATTTCGAATATATATATAAATATGTTATGTAAATTATTGTTTTTATCAAAAAAGGGGAACTTACCACATTTGTTTTAAAACTTCTCCTCCGCACATTGTAAAATCCACCTTTTTCCAGTGTTAGCCCAACAAGTAGAACATACAAGTTCTCCCATAATCCTTTGGTAGTAGGCCTCCCGCCTTAATGTGGAATTCTCGCATATTCCCTTACTGTGCTACACGACGCTGTTAGTTATATACAGCACAACTTTCACTAGGTGGACTTATTTATTTGTTATCCGATATTTCTACTTGGTAGAATGGCTATCAGATTCTGTTTTAAGCTTGGAGCTTATATCACCGATAAAATCACAGGAGAGAAAAAATTCACCTTAAAAGAGATAACAAACACACAAAATGGAATTAAACCAAAAATTCACAATTTTTTTTCCTTTACGATTGTTGGAGTTGTTGTTCTTATTCTTCTATGATAGCTACGAATTGAAGCAAAATCAGAAAACAAGAAAAATTTACCTTCTTCTCGTATCCTTTTTGCCCAAAAGCAACACCACACCACACTCCACCACAGTCAGACTGTGACTGAAAATTCGTTGTAGCTGAAGGATTAATGAAACCTTCGTTGCGAGGAAAAACTTGGCAATTTTCCCAACACCAACAACAACCACATGGCAAGAGTTTGTTTGCTGGCCAGCGAAGAGGAAAATTTGCGCCAAAAATTTTTCCACCCCAAAAAAGGAAAGTTAATGAAACATTTTCATCCTCCCCAGCTAACCCAATCCTCCAATAAGAATCCTTGAACCTGAAGTGAAAAGGAAAAATTGTCTAACAGCCAAGCAAAAAACAAATTATCATTCATGTTAGAAGAAAACTCACTCACCCTTATTTGGGGCTGCCTTGTCGGGTTAGAAGGTTAGAAGGAGATGTTGGCAACACCCACCCTTGGCTTGGGAACCAACCAATTTAATAGATATATTCTCCCCCGACTCTGGCAAAACAAAACGCATTCAAATAAGAATTCCATTTGGGATTTTTTTTCTGCAGCATAGCATATTTTCTTGGGCCAGGCATTTGCAGCAACCAATACCGTGAGTAGGGTGAGGGAAAAATTCAATGATGCCACCGTCGCCACCACCAGGCAGTCACCCTTAAATTGTACAGAATTTTTACAATATTCTAACCAAATGCCTGCTGCCGAGAATCAACGAGACGGCCAGCACATTCTGGAGAGCGAAAACACATTTGTTTTTTTCGTTCTCTCAAATTGCATACTCTCTCTCTCTGCCAACCGGCACAACACTGAGCAGAGTGTGTGCCGCCAACATCATTGCAAAGCACATGTTTGAACTGACGTTGACGTTGGCGTCGCCGCCGCAGCTACTGCGCCCCGGTTGGGTAGCTTCATTCACAATTTTTCTTGTGAATTTTTAGTATGAATTTCGCTTTCTGCTGAACAAGTTGTGTTGAATTGAATGTGAGAGAGTTCGGAGCGCGCTCGTTAACAAGAACAACAACAACAGGAAAAAGCAAGCGCAGCAAATGTGAAAACAACAACAGCAAACTTATTGCAATAGCATTTCATTTGTTTTCTATTCAAAAAATCACCACCAAAAAGAATCCGCATATTGTTTTGTATAGAAACAAGCGAAAACAAAAAACAACGACAACAACAAAAGTTTTGGAAGTGAAATAACAAAACACAATTGTCGTGTAATCAAAAAAAGAAAAAAAAACAAAAAGTAAAAAGAATTCCTACTAGAACGAAAAGCCAAGATAAAGCAGAAACAAATAAAATCAAAGCAAAAAAAGAAAAAAAAACAAAATAGCAACAATCAGAAAATCAATTGCATGCATGATTTTTTCGGGTTTATTAAAACAATAACACCAACAATAATAAAAAACATTTGTTCGGTTTTTTTCGGGGTACGCCTACATCCAAATCAATTAATTTGTGGGGAGAAGTGCCCATACAACAAAACGCTGGAATAAAGTGCAAAACAAATTGAGAACAATCTAAACCACCAGACCAAACAAGAAATTGCAAAACCATTTTGTGAAATCAAAAACAAATTATTGCCAAATTTTCTATTCAAACACGAAAAGAGCAAAGAAAAACGTGCACAAACCTTATTTACAAGTGCTGTGAGTGCTTTCGTTTGTTTGTGTGTCGCGTTGTGCTGTGCTGTAATTTACACCTCATTCTGTTCCAACGCGGGACGGACAGACCATCATTGCTAATACGGACAAAATTAACTGTAAATTTATGGCATTTCTAAAGCAGAGGAGGAATACACAACCGAACTGTAGTGGCAGCGGCACAGGCAGTGGTGGGCAATCCTTGAAAATCAGCAGCAATAAAAATTACAATAACAACAATAATGCAAAATCTTTGAAAATTCATCATCGTTGATTTATCGAAAAATAGCCATAGCCTCTCCGTGGACTTTTTTCACCAACAATTGAAAGAAAATAAAATAAATTTATTTTCTTGTTTTTGACAATACCCTCCAGCTTTGTTGTTGCTCCAGCCAGCCGCTTTTATTCGATTGAATTTTCTGGCCCCGCGACCGCAACAAATTCGCGTGTGTTTTTTCAACATTCACGAACTGTGTGAGTAAGTGTGTGTGGGGAGCGCGTCTGCTAACATCTACAATGAAGAAAAGTCATTCAACGTTGAAAATTTCTATGGATTAAAATTTATTGAAAAAAAAGAAAAATAAAAAACAATAATAACAATAACATTCACCCAATCAAGAAAAAAGCAATAGCAACAACAATCATAGCATCAGCAGCAGATATTTGTTGATTGTGTGCTGCGAGATTTTTTTCTCATCACAACACAGTGACCGGTGCGTAAAAAGTGACAGTTGTGTGTTTGTTTGTTGTTTTTTTATATAAATCAATCAAAGAAAAACCAAAACAAACAACAAAATGTGCCAGACAATGTGAATTTGTTGTTATTATTAATCTAAAAAGAAAAAAAAAAAATCAGTGGAAAAAAGTGAATGCAAGTGCAGTACAGGTATTGGATTGGTTTTTTTTGTGCGAATAATTTCATAATTCTAATGTCATTTTTACACTATCCTACAAATGCATGGAATTTTCAATGAAAGTGAGAGTTTGTAGTGGGATTTTTTTGTTCAATGTAAGAGCGATGTAGGTAGGATACGAATGGGCTAGAGGACAATAAATGGGATTGAATACGGGACTTAAAATAGGAATGGAAGCGTTTAGAGGTTCTCTGGAATACTACTTACGTCCAAGAAGTAAATTTCAAAAATACAATTTATTGTTTATTCCAGAACTCCAAAAATAATAAAGTTTTTACTACCATAACCAATTTTCCCTTTATGATATCGGAAAAAAATGCAAAACCAGTAATTTGTTGCAGGTACTGAAACAGAGCATTTGTGATATTTGGGCTGTTCCAGAACCTGCAAGAATCTACTACTTTGGAATTTTTTCGATATCTTAAAGGGAACTTTGGTTTTAATAGTAAATACTTTTACATTCTTGCAGTTCTGGAACAGAACAATTTTCTAAATCCAAAAAAAGACCACCAGATAATCTATTTTATGAAGATTATAATTAACAAAAACATTTTTAAAATAATTTTTGAATTTTTCTGAAACCGTATCATTGCGTGTGTGATTAACACTTTCGTCTGTCTATTATTGCTAATTTTGTTTTTTTTTTACTTGAAATTTTGAAAAATAATTTCAAATTACTGTTATGTTCCAGAACAACAAAAATCTGAAAGTTAAGCCGAGTTTACATTTATAATATCGAAGAAAATTGTAAAACTAGTGGTTTCTTGCTGGGACAGAGGGAGTATACGTATTTTATTTTTGTCCTGTTCCAGAACTTTCAAGAATCTGTTATTTTTTAATATCAAAAATGCCCGTGAAGATAAATTGTAAAATATAAATGCAATGTGTTGGTGCGCAAGGGGTTAATTGAAAAATAGTTTTTTTTAATATTAATGATTTTTACCATTTTTTTGGATAAATCAACGTATTTTTAAATTAATTTAAATTAAATTGACTAATTAAATTAATTTAACAGGAAAATGACACAATTTCCCGACGAGGACGAATAACCAGAGTAGTGTTGGCGGTAGGGAAAATGCTGAATTGCACAAAAACTATGCTAGCTGCGTCATTGAGGCGGGTCTTAAATGAAAGGTCTCGAGGAGTACTTTCTGGCTATATATGCCTTATATTCCCAACTGATTTCAGATAATCGAATTTTTTCGATTTTCTAACCAAAGTGGCGGTTTCGGTAGGGAAACTGCATGGAAAATGCTGAATTGCACAAAAAGTATGCTAGCTGCGACATTGAGGCGGGTCTTAAATGAAAGGTCTCGAGGAGTACTTTCTGGCTATATATGCCTTATATTCCCAACTGATTTCAGATAATCGAATTTTTTCGATTTTCTAACCAAAGTGGCGGTTTCGGTAGGGAAACTGCATGGAAAATGCTGAATTGCACAAAAACTATGCTAGCTGCGTCATTGAGGCGGGTCTTAAATGAAAGGTCTCGAGGAGTACTTTCTGGCTATATATGCCTTATATTCCCAACTGATTTCAGATAATCGAATTTTTTGATTAATTTTTTAGCTTTAATTTTTTAGCTTTTAATTTTTAGCTGATTAATTTTTTAGCTTTTTTCGTATGTTATATTTCAAAGATGAATTTGCTGTAAAAATTAAAATAAAATTAAAAAATTTATATATTTATATTTTTGCAGAAATTGAAAATAGCTAAATTTGTTTCTTCATTTTTTTAACCATTCAATTTCACAAAATTAACTCCTTCAACGGTCTATGTGCAACTTCACAAACTAAAATTTGAGTGATGTGCTTCTCTTCAAAAAAAAAAAAAAAAAAAAAAAAAAAAAAAAAAAAAAAAAAAAAAACAATGAAACGTTATTCGCACACACACTCATACATATTGTTTATCCAGAACGTCTTCTGTACATTGCCTACTATAGGCAATCATCAAACATCTGAACGTTCAAACTTGTTCGAAATTGTGTCCGTAATGTATTCAGTGTTGCCAGCCGCTTGCCTAGGTAAGTGAGGCAGTTTTGGACTTTGCCACTGTTATGATTATTGATGCATTTTGGATCATGGATACGAGTGTAATTATTTAGGTCGTAACAGGGGACTAGTTTTTGTGCATGTTTCCATGCAGTTTCCCTACCGAAACCGCCACTTTGGTTAGAAAATCGAAAAAATTCGATTATCTGAAATCAGTTGGGAATATAAGGCATATAAAGCCAGAAAGTACTCCTCGAGACCTTTCATTTAAGACCCGCCTCAATGACGCAGCTAGCATAGTTTTTGTGCAATTCAGCATTTTCCATGCAGTTTCCCTACCGAAACAGCCACTTTGGTTAGAAAATCGAAAAAATTCGATTATCTGAAATCAGTTGGGAATATAAGGCATATATAGCCAGAAAGTACTCCTCGATACCTTTCATTTAAGACCCACCTCAATGACGCAGCTCGCATAGTTTTTGTGCAATTCAGCATTTTCCATGCAGTTTCCCTAGCGAAACCGCCACTTTGGTTAGAAAATCGAAAAAATTCGATTATCTGAAATCAGTTGGGAATATAAGGCATATATGGCCAGAAAGTACTCCTCGAGACCTTTCATTTAAGACTCAATGACGCAGCTAGCATAGTTTTTGTGCAATTCAGCATTTTCAATGCAGTTTCCCTACCGCCAACACCACTCTGGTTATTCGTCCTCGTCGGGAAATTGTGTCATTTTCCTGTTAAATTAATTTAATTAATTAATTTAATTTAAATTAATTTAAAAATACATTGATTTATCCAAAAAAAGTGGTAAAAATCATTAATATTAAAAAAAAACTATTTTTCAATTAACCCCTTGCGCACCAACACATTGCATTTATATTTTAAAATTTATCTTCACGGGCATATATCAAAAAGGGAAAATTGTTTATCTCACTTTATGGCAGAGCATTTATTTTTTCCCTTTTTACCATGATTTCGGAAAAGTTTTTTTGGTGCCTCAGGGATAGGCTCTTTAGGATTTTCGTATTTTCAATCGTTCACCATTCCGAGTGGAACTTTTCAATTATTACAAAGTTATTTTTTTTCAAATTCGGAATTTTGTATAGTTTTTGCAATAATAAAAAAATTTTAATAACTTTTTCTTAAATTTCATAAATTTGGAGTTTTATTAAAATATTGCTTTTTTGTCAGTAGTCGGCACCACTTGCCAATTGTTGTCGGTATGACATGTTCCAATAGTCCGATTTTTTTTGTAAGGATAACTAATAATAATAAAAAATAATTTATTAAAATAATATATTTTTGTTTAGTTAAATTGTACACAAAGATAGCTGACATTACATTTGAATCAAACAAAAATTTCTGTTCACATTTAGTTATAATTGTTTTATTTATTAGAGCTTATAAATAAAAAGTGCCGACTACTGAACTTAGGTACGCTTACCCTATGCTTCAGAACCTGCAGGAATCTACTAGTTTTGATTTTTTTTTCGATACAACGAGAAAACGGTTATCGTATTTAAAAATTTTATATTCTTGTTGTCCTGGAACATAACAATAGGTAGATATATTTTGAAACTAATGAAAATAGCTATCCGATAATTTTTTGGGACTCAGTTTTTTTTATAATAACCCAAGAAGTCGAGCTTTTATGGTTGTCAACAAAATATATGCCAAGTTATATGTGGCTGACACTCAAACATTTTCAACTTGGTGTTATATGTGACGATGTCTTTCAAATTTTATGAACCCGTGCTAAACAATTCTGTCAAGTCCTTCGAGATGCTGGTTTTAATATAAAAGAAAACTTAGTTTACATTGCTATTGCTGGACATATCCGGCTACCGCCCCTAGCATTCCTCCAATAATTTCTGAAACTAAGTTTGCTTCAAAAGACAAAATTATGTTTTGAAATTCAAAGAGATTAAAATCACAATACTTTTAAAACTACTAAGTTTTGACCTATTCATAGACTTCAAGAATCTTCTAGTTTTGCAATTTTTTCCGATATTATAAAGGAAAAATCGGTTATTGTAGTAAAAAGTTTTACATTCTTACAGTTCTGGAACAGAGTATTTATTGTCAAATTGTTGTTAAAAGAAGTCTTCTTAACCGATCTTATATTAGCTTGGGGCATATAGTTTCTAATATTACCAACGCCACAATCGCAGTTGTATTAAACTTGACCAGTCTAGAAGATAATTTTCACTGAAGATAGATAATTTTCACTGATTGGCCGAAATATTCATAATAGACCCTACAAAGTATATATATTCTGGAACAGCGTAAAATTCTAAAATGATCTAGCGATGTCCGTCTGTCTATTGTAATCACGTTATCTTTCGAACCAATTTAGATAATAAAAGGCTAAAATTGTGCATACATGCATAGTTTGCCAGTAGGCAGTTTAAGTTCGTAAATGAGCCATGTCGGTCTACGTCTTCGTATAGCCCCCATGTAACGATACCTCCTGATACTCGGTATTTTGCTGATTTCAGAAACATTATTCACCGGAATCGTTTCAAATTAGGGTACTACAACTTAAGACTACATTGTCTCTGCAGGCCCACCCTCCCGATACTCCGTAATTTCATGATTTTTGCGACATTATTCACCGAAATTGTAACAAATTTCGTATTTGAAGTTCCTAATGGGCACAGGTCCACGTCTTCGTAGTTTCCGGATTTATTTTTTCAAAAATGTTCAATTTCCTTCAAAATGGTGGAGGGTATTAAAAGCCCGGCCCGGCTGAACTTCGCTTCTTCTTTAATTGTTTTTTTTTTTTTTTTTTGTGAAAATACTTTCAAACTATCTAATTCAGCTTAATTTTTAATTCCTGATAGAAAAAAATGGGTCAATGGGAGTTTTCTTTTAAAGCTGTTTTTTTTTTATAAATACTATGATAGGTGCTTGGGGTAGTTAAAATTTGTATCCTATAATGTTTGGTCCAAATTAAAAAAAAACCTACAAAATATACTTATTTCATAAAGAAATACACATAAGAGATAAGAACTTCTCAGAAATAACTTTTTATAAGACACAATTCAAACTATGTGTAAAATGTCCTCAAACATATGCCAGGCCAGAAAAAAATTCGGGTTTTTTTTATAGAAAATCAATTTCTTGAGATGAGACACTCTATGAGAAAATGAGCGGTATGTAATATCCGTAAAGCTATAATTAATAATTTTTCGAACAATTTGCCAGATTATAGACAATAACAATAATGATAAGCTGGGCAAATATTTAATATTATGTATTTAATTTAAAAATTCTTATTTTGTCTAGGTTTACGACTTTATCGACGTATGCATGATATGTCGGAAAAGTATGTCATATGCTTCACAAATCCTGTCAGGCCATTTATGATTATTACTATATATGAAGGGCTCACAGCTATACCGAACTAAGTCATAAAAACATAATTCCAAGATAGTTAGAGGTAAAGTAAATGTACTGCAATTAATTTCTGGAAGCAATATTTTAGTCTACCAAAAGAAAATGTAAACGTCTATATTCAAAATTAACTAATGATATAAAGTTAAAAGAAAAATAATTTAAATATATTGCTAAAAAAAATATTCAAAAACAAAAAACCTGCTTTGGTTCGTTATTACTCTGAATAAAATTTGAAGGTTTTACAGCTAAAGCGAACCAAGTCAAAAAAATAAATAAATTGTTCATTTTATGACTAAATATAGTTGATGTTTCGCTTGTAATAAGCAACTGATGTTGATAGCTTTGGAAAAGGCAATGCTTTTTGAATGTCGAAAGTACAGAAATAGTGCTCATCAGATGGCACTTCTGTATTCAGTGAGTCTCGAGCTAGCTGTGCTGCTTTTAAGTGAAGTTCCTTTTGCCAAATTAAATTTGTATTTTCGTCTTCATCGAATTTTATTTTCATGTTAAGTTCATCACATATTCGAAAGTTATCCTTATTCGGTCAGTGCTCCAGTGGTCCATTCCAACAAGTACCTCCCCCACAAAGGGTAAACATTTTGAATAATTATAACTCTTATAAAATGTGATGAAATTTTCCGATTGTGTTCAAATTACACAGATCAGAATATTTTTATTAACCCACGCTCTGCTGTGAATATGGAATATATCGCTCCACTACCTCTGGTATCATCCCCACAAAGGGTCAACATTTTGAATATCCATGAAGCTCATAAGATGCGATATTATTCGATTTCATTCAGATTGGGTACATTTCAAAATTTCCTTCAACACAAGATCTGTTATAAAGATGGTAGAGATCGGACCATTTCTTCTGGTACCTTTCCACACAGGGTTCAAGATTTTGAAAAACAAAACTGAAAGAAAACGAAATAATCATCCAACTCCCTTTAGATTTCACACATACAAACATTTTCGCTAACACAATATTTGTTGTGAAGATGGAATATATCTGCGAACCACTTCCGGTACATCACCCACAAGGGGTCACAATTATCAATGCCTTTATCTGTCATAACTTGCGAAACAAGTCGATGATTCTTTACAACTTGCTATATCTAAATATTTCTCTCAACCAGAAACATGAGATGAATATGGAATAATGTAAGATTTTCTTGTAATTGTGCCCATACTATTTTAATGTGTATTAGGAAAAAGTATATCAAATAAAAAGCAGTAAGTTCGGTCGGGCCGAGCTTTGAATACCCTCTACCATTTGGAAAGAATTTGGATATTAAAAAATACTTTTAAAAATCATAAAAATACCGAATATAGAGAGTTATCGTAATATGGGGGTATATACGAAAATGTGGACCTGCACAGCCAAGTTTTGTCATAGTCCATTACAATATTCAAATAGGAAACTTGAAAAAATCCGGTAAATAATATCGCAAAAACATCATAATACCGAATACGAAATATGAAAAAAATTGGTGAATAATGTCATTAAAGTCATCAAAATACCGATCATTTCCAATACCAAAAGCCCTGTAGACCAAACACACATCTGAGTAAATTTTATCAACCTACTACAAACGCCTCGGAAGCTAGAGTGATTTCCACAGATGGACAGACAGACGGATGGACATCACTAAATCAACATTGAATCATTGCTGATATCTATATATACGCTGATTCAAAGTGAAACACACTGACTTGGTTCATTTTTGCTTTGAATAAAAACGAAAATGACAGTCGTGGACTTAGGTTTTTTAACGTTATCTTTGGAACGAAACACTTTTTGACATTGTGCTTTACAGAGTAAACAGAGTTGCCATATGCGGGGACATTGGCACTAGTTTCGGCATTTTTTATTTTTCATGACTTGGTTCGGTATAGCAGTGAGCCCTTCATATATGCTCCGAAATTTAAATATTCCAGAGATTTTTTTGAACATTTAGATGTTTTATTTTTATATATTTTTTAGCATTTCGCTCGAAAATCTCTTTTTTTTGTCGTTGGGCAATCCAACGAAAGGCATTTCTGGTTTCGTCGGTGGTAGGTTTCTATCAAAAATATAGGCTCATTTTCCTGCAACCCACATTTTGAGAATATTTGTGCAAAGGTACCCTCCCTTTATTAAAATAACTTACTGAACTTAAAATACATTTTTAGGATATTGAAATTGACATTTTTACAACATAAGAACATTTTCAAAATTCATACCTAATTTAAACCCGCTCTATTCTCTTTCAGGCGCGACAATAGAAAAATCAAAATTTAAAGACTTGAACTTTTTCTTATTCGACAGAATGGAATACTTCTAAGAACTTTTCAATCAAAAACAGAAAAAAACTACTTTTCATAATTTTAAACAATCGACAAATTAAACAATCAGTGAAAATACAAGCAATACAATTTTCCTTTTATAAAAAAAAAAAACAAAATTCTGAATTATTCACAACAAAATGTAAAAATAGCAATATTATCGCTAAACCTAAAAAAAGTATAATGAATTAAAACGAGTTTTGATTTGGTTGTTACGCCCGACAACTTTTAACAATTCCATATTGATAAACAAAAGTAAAGCTCTCCGGTCGATTTACAGCGGCAATCAATTTCTGCATTAAAGTCATCGTCTCAACAACAATCATCGTCGAGAAAAGTTTCTTCGTTATCGGTACTGTAAGCCCCATTTAAATGCTACTTATGGCGCCACGTCGCAATCACAATACCAACAGCATTGTAACGCAGCAAACACCGCAACAGTCAACCGCAAATCAAACGTTGTCATCGTCGTCCACAGCTTCTTTGACATCGGTATCGGTGGCAGCCACATCTTCGGCATTTTTGGTGGCTAATTCCACGTCATCGGCGTCGACAACAACGCTGTTCAACAGCTTCTACACGACGACAGCACCTCTGCAACCACCCACGCATCTAAGCGAAGAATCTGGGATTAGTAGCAGCAACAGCAGTAACGGTAATAATAACGGCGCCAGCAATATGTCACCCATGCAAACCGCAATAACCACCAACAATAACAACAACAACAATACATTGACTCCTAATCACAACAACACCAACAAGGGCGATCAATATGTTCGCTGTTGCCATCCCGGTGGTGAGTGTTTCAAATCCGATTCGCCCCTCATCAATTTGGACGACTTATCCGATTGTGTGAAAGTGATTTGCAACAATGAGAACTGTAATGTGGGTCAGTATATGCATCGGGAATGTTTCGACAACTGGGAGCAATCCGTCCTACAATCCCTCAAGTCAATGGGTGGTAGGGCGCGTTCATGGTCAGATCGGCAGAAGGCTCAAAATCTATGGACCAAGAAAGGTTACGATTTGGTCTACAAGGTGTGCGGTTGTAAATGCTCACGTGGTCATTTGCGCAAGGATTTGGAATGGGTGCCGCCCAAGCCTGCTGGTCAACAATATGCCATGAATGGCCAAAGGATAATGAATGGCAATGCCACGACCAATGGTGTTAGTGGCGGCTGTCAGGAAGATGAGGAGAAGAAGAAAAAGAAAAACAAACGGAATCGACAACAACAGCAGCAGCAACAACAACAAACTACTCAGTCGAATAAAACTTTGGCACCTTTGCAGGTCAATGGTCAGCAACAACAACAACAGCAACAAACACAACCACAACAAATGTCAGCTGTAGTTTCTGCCAACACAAATAATGTGGTGGGAGAACACAAAACCGATACCAACAATGGTCATCACAATTCCTCCAATTCCACATCATCTTCATCCACTGGCAACAGTACACCCAATGTAGGTGTCATTGGCTCCGGTTTGCATCATCAGCAGCAACAAAATCAAATGCAAAACAACAACAACACCAATTCTGGCCTAGCTGAGCTACCGGCCACCGTCATGTCCTCCATCAATAATCTCTTGAATGGCTCCAATAATATTTTGGGTTTGGATTTACGCCCACGCACCAATAGCATCTCATCGGCCAGTAATAGCCACAGTGGCTCCTCTTCACCCTCGGCCATATCTTTTTGCAGTGGTGAGCTGACGTTGGTACCAACCACCACCTCTTCCGTCACTTCATCCAATGGTCTATTGAATTCTTCGATTTCATCTTCTTCAGCGTCTACCAATCAATTGGCCACATTGCAGAGTTTGAATCTAAATGGATTCTATCCTCAGGCCACACTAAACAATCAACAACAACAGCAAACCTCATTAATGCAGCAGCAGCAGCAACAGCAATCGTCTCTAACGAAAAATATTCTTAATGGATTACAATCGTCGGTTCTCCTGGGAAATGGTGGTGTAGGCGCTACCGTTACCAACAATTCTACTGCTGCCTCTGTAGTTGCCACCACAGCTTTATTGATTAAACAACAACAACAGCAGCAGCAACAATGTCCTTCTGGCACTATCTTGACCAATGGTCTTAAACATTTGACACCGTTTGAACAGCAACAACTTCTGTTGCAGCAAAAAGTCAAAGAAGTCGAGCTTTATTCAGAGAGAGTTCGGTAAGTGATGATATTTTTCTCTAAGATTCTTATGTATTTAAAATTCTAAAGATAGAATAAGTCTCTTACAGATACAAAAACCTTTTAAATGAAAATAAGTCCTTGTAAATGTCTCCTACAGACATAGGGCTTCCTCAAGGTCTTCTATAGAATTTATTTTGCAGATGAAAGACCTTATGAGGTTCAGAGATCATATTTTCTCGTTTTTACTAACGAGCGAAACATACTCGGGAGCGTTTGTGCTCGAAGTGTAGAATTTTACACACAATTTATGGATGCGCTCGCGAATAAATCCTGTTTGAAATAGAGTAAGAGTTTACTTTACGAGTAGTTTTATATCGAATCACTCCTTAAGTACCTCCCCCACAAAGGTTTATAGTTTGGAAGCTTTAGAAATCTTATAAAATGATTACCTTCAAGTGTCGCACATTCCAATTTCTACAAACTTTATTTTTGGTACGAAGACAGGATAGAACAGACCACTCCTACTGGTAACTATAAGGAGTAATTCCTATCGAACTCGAGTAAAAAACGAAGTTCGAGAATTTCGGAGGAGGTAGCGGTGCCTTCTCAAGGTTTTTACATGCAGAAGAATACTTAGACTCTAGTCTTCAACAGATTGAAATCCCCTTAAAGATGTTTTAAAATCGAAGACCCATATGCAATAGAAGAATATTTTTGGTGTTATTTTTTTTTTTTTTTTTTTTTTTTGATAACATAGATCCTCAAGACCATCTGTAGAAGGTCCTCTATGGGTAGAAGGTCTTATATTTATAAATATCTCTTAACGTTTTTTTTTCTTGATAAAAGATCTCTTACAGAACTCCCATAGATATAGAGCTTTAAGGGTCTTCTATTGATACATTTCGGAAATTACTTCTATACTTCTATATCCTCCACTATCTCTAGAAGGCTTTAAAGACGTCTTCAATTAATAATAAACGTTTTGAGAGGTATTCTACCCATAAAAGACCTTTAAGGTGACCTGCTACCTACATTAGATCAACATATGCTATTTATCTATTAAAGTCGTAGACAGAAGACCTCTAACAAAGTCGCCAACACCTAAAATATATTCAAAAAAGGTCTAGTAAAGGTATTTTAAAGATAGAGAACCCCTCCTTGGAATTCCATGTTATGAAAATCTCCTGATGGAGACCCAAAACTCTTAATGGGAGGACTGAAGGACTTTTGCAGGTCACTCTGTGGAGTGAAGAAGATTTTTAAATATTTCTAAAGTTTTTCTAAAGTTTTCTAAAAATCTTGCACTTTTTCTATGGCCGAAAGACCTTTTAAAGGCCTTGAAAACTTTGTACAGCTCGTCCTTGGCCAGAAAAATGGGTTTCTTTGACCAAAAGACATTGTTCAAGTCTCCCATGGCCAGATGACCCTTAGCAAGTTTTTCATGGTTAGAAAACCCTTTACATGCTAGAAGACCTTTTACAGGCCTTTGATGGTGAGAAGGTCCTTTACAAACCTTACGTAGCAAGACGATATATTACAGGTCCTCTATTACCAGGAAAGCCTTTACAAGTCGTCCATAGCCAAAAGATTATATACAGGTCTTCCATGCTCAAAAATATTTCACAGGTCTTCTGTGGCCTGATATTTTTAAGGTCTATGGCCAGAAAATAATTGTGTTTTAAAAGCTTCTATGGACAACGTTTTTTTAAATCTAATATCTTTATTTGAAATGATTTTACACTTACACTTCAGCAGATGGTCTACTGCGGATAAAATCCCTCTTAAAATACTTACGCAGAAAGTTGATCTTTAAATGGATCGAAGACAGCAAGACGTCTTTCTGTAGTAAGAATACATTTTGAGAGGGTTGCTACAGACATAAACTAGAAAAATAACTCTTTAAGACCTACAGAACACTTTCTCAATATTCGCTGCAGAGAACCCTCCTCCTGGCTGCTAATTTTATGTCATACAGACTTTATCTGTTGTGTAATTTCTCCCCGTGTCTTCTCTGTCCTATTTAATAACGTGATTAGTATTCGTTATCGACATTTTGATATCTACTCACACGATTGCTGCCACCAAGTGAGACACTTAATTATTCAACTTGTTGTTGTTGTTTTTTATTTTAAAATAGACTTTGGCATTTTTATGGAATTAACCATATCTAAATGAATATTTTTTGGTGTATAGCTCTTAAAACAAAAAATCATATAATTGTTACGATACCCCAACGATTGGAGGCAGTTAAACCAGTTTAGTTAAACAAAATTTATGAATTAATTTGTTTAATTTTGGTATAATCGTTGCATTTAGCAGTAGCCTTGAAAATGTTGTTGTTGTTATTTTGTCGCATGATTGTTTTTGTTTTGCTTCTCTTTTGATGATCAAACAAAAGTTTGTCGAAAAAGAAATTTCGAACAAAATCCCCCTGCTTAAATTGGATTAGTAACACATTTTGAACAGAAAAAAAATTTGCAAAACTAAAATACAAATTACGAGAAACAAAAGTTTAATGATAACGAAACAGCAGCAGCTGTTTAACCGGAATATGTTTGTTTTTTTTTTCTTTTTTTTTCGGTTTCAATGCATATCATTATAGTTACTAACCGAATTATGAATATTAATAATTTTTTGATCATGGAATTAAATTTATAAAAAAAAAAACAAAAAAGAGAATGATTAGAAATGTTAATATAATAATGAGAAACCAATAATGAGAAAAACAAAACAAATAGCAAAAAGTAGCAGAGCTTTTTTTTAAATGATGAAGCCTTCAAAACACAATTTCACATATTGGTTCTTCGACGTTATTGATTGGTGAAGAATTTTCACACATTTTCGTTTATCAATACTCAAATATTCTTAATTTCAATTATAATTTTTATTTATTTACATTATTATCAATAAATTGCCTTGGTCATGTTTAACATTGAACAGAGTTATGCAATCTGAAGTCGTAGGACCTTTTTTTAATAATTTTTTTGCTGTAAAACACGTACAAATTAAACATATAGATTCGGAGCAACTGAGCTTTACCTCTCCATAAACTTTTAACAAATACTCTTAGTAAAAGTACAAAAATATATATACAGGGTGAGATAAAAAACTGCAACAGAGACAAATGCCATAATTTTTTTAATACTTTTTAATTTTATAGAATGAAAACAAAAATGTCGGAAATAGCATCAAATTTAGGAATAAGTTTAGATTTGTTCGAATTGGTCACCTCTGGCACGTATTATGGTCTTCAAACGGCCAATGAAACCGTCACACGCTTGCCGAATGTTGCCCTGTGGTATTTTGGCCCATTGCCGGTAAAGCGCTTGATTGTGGTGATCGACAATTTGGTATTTTTTAGTGCCAACCTTCCTTTTCAAAATACTCCAGACACAATAGTCCAAGGGAGTGGTATCCGAAGATTTTAGTGGCCATTGTGAGCTGGAAATGAAGCGAGGAACCTCATTTTGTAACCATTCTTGGGTGGCGCGTGCTGAGTGCGATGGTGCTGTAGTCCTGTTGGAATCTCCAAGGTCTGCAGCCAAAATGTTTGTATGCCCAAGGCTTTAATACACCCTCTAGAATATTTTCGCTATAATATTCGTCATTTATTCTGATCGATCGATCGATCGGTCGATTAATACGAGCGGAGAGCGACAATCGGCTGTTATGGCGGTCCACACGATTATCATGGCCAGCGCTTGAGTTCCGGTGGCCAACCGAAGTTGAACATTTTTAGCTGACCTCTTTGGCAACGAATGTTTTCTCATCGGAGAAAACCAAATTCGGCAGTTCACCACTTCGGCCAAGCGAAGCAACTCTTTAGACCTTTTGAGTCTATTTTCTTTCTGTCGCGTTGTAAGGTCTTGCACTTTTTGGAATTTTAACCGATTTACCCCTAGCCTATTCAATTCAATATTTGTCGAATGGAATATTGCGATATGTTCAGCTCACGATCCATTTTTCAACCACTGCGACATGGTTTTCAATCAAGTCGCTTCTTTACTTTTCGAACCATTTCTGCTGATATTGCTGTTTTCTTCCGTCCACTTCCTTGACGTCAGGCTACGCTACCAGTATCACGGTAACGAGCGATAGCCACTTGTGGTTCTCCAGCCAAATAGAAACAAATCACACTATCACGCTTGAAATCCAACACGACTAACTTTTTTTCCGAAAAATTCTCAGCAAAATGCTTTTGTACGCTTGTAAACAAAATAATGAGCTGTCATTGGGAATAATTTTAACAGCTGTCGGACGAGTGGCTTAGAAACGACAGCAGTCTGAAGTTGCTTGCAGTTTTTTTTTTCATTTCACCCTATTTTTGTGAGATTTCGTTGACTTGGATTTGAAACAACAGATAAAAGTATTTTTCTCGAAGGACCACAATATACCCTTTAGCTATAACTTACAATATTACGACCGAAGGACCATAGTACACCGTATAGCTATTGGCTTGCCTCTCAAAGGACTAAAATTATTTACAAACAGCTGAAATCCGAACGTGTAATACACAATAGTATTTAATTGCTTCCATTCCGCCAATAGCAACGAAGAACAACTAATCGAAAGTGGAAATTTTAATTTGCCATTTAATTTCCTGTTATCGTAATACTGCATAACATTTAAAAATAATCCAAAAACCTTGACCTACCGAATTCCCTCCAACACAGAAAGGAAATGCATAATAAACAATTAAATTCGTAATTTTGCAAAAACAAAAAAAAAAAAATTAACATAATTTCACAAAAAAAAGAAAAAACAACCAAAAACTGAGTGATAACAACAAACTGAACAAAGGGAATAAATAAAATGAATTATCTTGTATAATTCCGATGAATTTGAAAACAAGAATGACACGAAAAAACGCAAACTAAATTTAAATTATTTATAACAACAATAAATTAAATAAGCCACGAGACTGCTAATGGTATTTCCTTGAAAAATCACAACAGAACAGTTTGAAATTTGTTTATAAAAATAAGATATAATAAAATGAAAATGAGTTTATTTTATATGATGACACACAAAACTCA